ATCATATAATTTGTCTATTTAAACATGGAAATACTCTAAACAAATATGCATTTACACCATTTAAATAATTAAATATTTATAACACAAACCTATCAAAAATGTGTTAAGTAACAAAATCAGCATATATAAGTGCTCAAGGCCTTTATAAAAGTTTTGCGACTTGGAGTGGCAAATAAGTTTGAAAAAATTGAAGTTGAAGCATCATCCTTTTTTACTATCGAGGCAAATTTGAGTGTGGATAAAATTTGCCATACGGTTATCGAGACGACTAGTTAGGTTGAGGAGCATTTCTTCATCCGATAATTGTTTTCTTGATTCATTTATACAGCACTTGTAGTTATCAAATTTTTATTCATCGTGTGGGCACTGTGATAAATGAATTCTTTTGAGCATAAATTAAAATTAAACACGTTTGTACCCTTGAAGATTTTAGGGCGTTTTCTTGTTTGATGTCAATGGCATTGAATCAGTTTTTTGATATTGATGGTTGAGGCTCAAATATTTCATCGATTGACAGGGTATTTTGGAGGGCCAACATTTTCTTTACAACAATGATCATTTAAAAACTGAAAACAAAAAGAAATTTAAATAACAAACCAATTATTTTAATACTGAATTAAGACACTTATTACAATTTGGTTATCCTTAATATGATGACTGCATATTTAATGTGGTATAAATTGCATCACTACCAATATATGGGGGTGCTTTATTGTTTGTTGCTGAAATCCATCTTCCCGTCGTTTGAAAACATACTTAAAATTGGAAAGTGTTGAAAAATAAAATAAATCTAGATGAATCAAAATTCAATACACCTTCAAATATAGCCATTTTAATTTCTCAAAGTTTTGACGAGCTGACAACTGACATGACATTTCGATACGAGCGCCATCCCGTTAATTGGAGTGGTACTAAATTACCGTCCTCATGTTTTTCCATTTGAGTTACCAGCCCCTGGCTTAGACTTTACAAATTTTTTGTCAAATTTAATTATTTTTTATATAGTTAAAGAATTTGAAAAGATGAATTCTCAAAAAAAAAAGACGTGAAACAAACAAAAAATGTAAAGATTGTAGGCGACATTTCTTTAAGTAAAAAATAGAATATTGAATCAGATTTTTTAATTATTAAAGAATTGTTAAAAAATTACCATTCCAAAATTTTGGATAGCATTTACAATCTCCTGGAAAATTTGCTGAATGTCTCTTTGGTTTTTTTGTCGATATGTTACAATGTGTAAGTGGGTATGTGTATACAGGGTATAATATTTTAACAGCGTAATATACAAGTGAAAATAAAACAATAATTCCTGAAAACAGGTACTCAAAAATGCCTTGTAAAAGAGCAATGTCCCTTTGTAAATGATTTTCTGACTATATTTTTCGAATTGGTACTTCAAATTTTGTCTTTCTCTTAAAATTGATATTCTGGATGTGACAACTATATATAGGTACTTCAAAAACAGACAATAAAAGTATCCAACATTTTTTAACTAACTAAATACTCAGAATTACTTAATTTTGACTAAATTACTTAGGGTATGTTTGTTACAAGTTGATATAGGGGTCTATTCTGTAATACATCCGTTAAAATTTAGAGGCCTTTAAAAATTACACTTTTAGCGGCCCGTTAATTTTTTTGACCAAAAATGGTATTCTGTATACACCAATTTTAGAGGCCTGTTAAAAATTATTTATTTTAACGGATTCTCTTAAAAATGGCAGGAGAACACTAGACAACATCGCATTTAAGAATAATTTGAACTAGTTTGAAAACATAACCGTACAAATCCTCAATTTTCAATTCAAAACAGTTAAAAATTAAAGGCGAATTTTAAAATCCCTTTAAAAGGCCGTTAAAATATAAAGTAATTGTTACAGAATAGACCCTATCGACTTTAAAACAATTTATCTTTTTTATGAATCTAATTTAACGCCATTTTCATTTGTGCATATTTGTTAAATATAATTTTTAATTTTAATTTAATTGACTCTTGAATTTTCTTACCTATACTTACTTTTTAAGCTTTTTAAACATTTTTTTACCTAATATATATGAAGACCTAGTAACCATTCTAACCTCTTATTATATTTAGCTAGGTAATCAGTAAAGGATATGTAGATCAAATTATTACTAACCCTTTTTCTCACCCTTGTTTGGTTCAAATTTAATTTTTTGTATTAAATATGTTTACTTTTATAATACTTACATTGCTAAAATATTTATCTATATTTATGAAACATCCTGTAAAATAATTACAACACAAAAATAAGAATAGACGATTTTTAAACTTTTATTTCTTCAGGCAACTTAGATACATAATATTGTTATATCCTATTACTTGAAAATATAATTATTAATTCTTAATTATCTTTCAATAATAAAGAATTAAAAAAAATCTTATCGTAATAAAAATGCTGGGCGTTATTTATTCACAAAGCTATTTTTAATTTTTTTTTTTTTTTTCAATAATGGAAAATTTTTTACGATCACACCAGAAACTTTTAAACATTGGTTAAATTGCAAATAATTTAACATAAATCTATTAGAAAGGACTACTAATATTTAATATAAATATATTTAGGAAATTGAAGTAAACATATTATTGTTTATTGTTCATTATAAACCGATTATTATATTTGACAAATCACAGATCCTCTTCAATTTGTAGCTGAAATCAGAAAACAATATATAAATTCACCAAAAATAAACTTTTATTTCGAGATTTTTTCAATAATCTAAAATAATTACATTGCAATTAAACAAAAGTGTCTTTATCTAAATTTCTTGGCATTTAGAATTTAAAAAATAGTTTCAAATTAGTTTTATATTCATCATTAAATAGAATAATTCATGTTGGCAGCATTCATTTAATCAGCATTTCTTCCCTCGCAACATTTTGGCTTTAGGATTAGAAATGTGAAGGGATGCTGTATTTATCAGTGCTGTTAACATGGGATTCTTTTATTTTCTTGTAATTGTAACTAATAAAAAAGGGGCAATTTTATTAGGAGATATCGCCAATTGATTAATAAATGTAATAAAAGAGAAATATTTTATTTATTACTTCATTAACGAATTGAAAAACAAAAATGATAGCTGATAGATATGATTTTTTTTAAAATAACAAAATAAACATCGAGAATAAGATAAGAAAGAAGAAACCAACCTAAAATATTTGCCTGCATCTTCCATGTATAAATTTATAACCAATTTTGCACCCCACTCGTATAATGTAAGCCTCTTTTGGACGTTCGGTGGTAGACTTGGACAATTTTTTGAAAAAATCGCTATAAGATGTTACTTCTCCGCTGATGTAGTTCAAAAAAAGTAACAAACATATCACTAACGCGTAATATCTGGCCATTTCAAAAGACATTTGGAACTTGGAACGTCAAAATATCAAAAATATTCAGTTCAAGTCGTGACCCATCGTGATTCTCACTAATGAGGTTGTGATGTACAGGTCCGGCTTCAGTTATGTCAGTTATTTCGATAAATTTTCGAATAAAAATTTCTATTAAAAATTAATAGTTTCTAAATCTTCAGGAAATATAAAAAAATAGTTGAAAGTAATTATGTTCATCTCAATTCTCTAATTCTACAAGAAAATGTTGCGAAAATATTTTATTTATATACATACTATTTAGTGTGGTGCATATTTAACCTGTAGTACACCATACAATCTGAAGGTCATGACTGAGTTTTGGATAGGCTTCAGTCGAGTGGACCCGAAAATCTGAAACCAAGTTGTTTCCAAGTGCAGAGCAGGTACATTGAATGTATTCTACGGATTTATTTTCTACGTTACAGAATCATATATGGATTCAGAGTGATAATCTGGCTTTATTGATGGTTTTTTTCCAGATGGAGGTTCCAGGTGAGCGTCTCATATAGGACAATCCTCAAATATTTCACCTACTTTGCTTGTCAAGTTTTCTTTTCCTAGTGAAGGCGACAATAACAATTTTATGATGGTTAACTTTTGCTCCTTCTAGCATCATTTATTGATTGTATTTAGGACTTGTTAAAGAATGTTGGGGGTCAGTTTCCCCTAATTATGATAACTGGATGATCCTCATGGCATTGGAAATCTATCTCCTGCCGGGTTATCAACCAGAATGATTCAAAGAATTCCGTAGAGTTTACATTATAAATTATGATCTCTATTTTAATTTTCTTGCTTCATTTGGCTTCCCAACACTTATCCACTTGTAAATATGCTATGTCTCATGACCTAAATTTTCCTAAGCAAATCTTAAACTGAGTTCTGATTTTGTTTAAAGTAGAATATCTTTAACTAAACTATCAATATTGAAAACCCAACTTTATCCACTTCTAAAACATGATTAGATGAGACGCTTGATTATAATTGGACATGAGATAAAGAGAGCAATCGGTTCAATCATATGGGATAATGCATTCCGTAGTCGACGGCGTGTTAGTATAGTTTTGTCTATTTAATATGTTTCTATACCGTTTTGCTGTAGTCAGGATGGGAAATTTTACGTATTGTATTACTTGCAATTTCTTTGTTTTTATCACATATATATTTATTTTTTATTGCTAGTTTTATTTATATATGCTTGCAAAAACAGTACATTTTTTAATTTTTGACGCTAAAGAAAAATATTAGTTTCATTTTTGCAAAATTTGAGAAAACTTTAACCAAATCATCATTTACAAAGCTATTAAAAACGTATATTCATCCGAGACACTATTATAGATAATTTAATAAATTTTATAGAAGTGAAATATTGTAGTAATTGTTTTTTAATGACAATTGGGTTAAAGCTGAAAAAAAATGTCTATATTGTTATTAACATTGATAATTTGATAATTTGTGGAAACTGAATTATTAATGTATATGTAAATTAAAAAAAACTTTTTCTCTTTTTTAAAATAAGTGTTTTTTACCATATTATTTTTACAGGTACAGTTTAATAAATTTTTTATTTAACAAAAATAATTTTATTATTCGAAAATGTTTAACATTTAGTAAGTATTATAATAATTATAGTTATCTATCTAAAATATCGAAGTATTTACACATTATCAGTACTTATATTATAATAAACAAATATATTTCTAAAAAACTATGAAAACAACTGGCTATTGGAGAAAATGTGTATAATTAACAACTGCATTTAGAGATTAGGATTTATATAAAAAATGACGGTTAAATCTATTAGAAAAATATATTCGAAGATAGAGATGATATCTCTTTCTAAGTCACGAAAGGTGGAAGAAGATGAAGATCCTTTCTCTATGTCATTCACAAAAATGCCAATTTTTCATGTCTTTTTATATCTTTCTACATTCTAATTAGTTAGATAAAGAAAAATAAGAAAAATATCAAACATTCTGAATAAAATATGGTTTGTAGCAATGTATTTATAAACTCCCTGTATTAACATTTTATTAAAAAAACAAGAACTGTTCTATTTTACATAAAAATATGCTATTGTTATATTTCATCTTTTTATAGACTTCAAATTTCAGCTAAGAAGAGGAATATTTACATGTTGCCCTTGTGCGACTAAAATAAAATCTGTTTAGTATGATTAACTTAGTTTTTTAGGTTCATAGTCGATAAAAATCACATTTCTATCATAATTTAAACTTGGGTGAACGCATTTCTTTCAAGATTTTCATAAGAAATGTCAAACGTCTACGTAGCAACAGTATTTTTAAAGCTAGTGGGAATTTAAATTATCTGGAAATAAACTATTAAAAATATTTTTTCCATCTTTGACGTATGACATTTTTCATAAAATACTTGAAAGAAATGAATACTTCCATACTTTGAATCCATAATCGCAAAAATATATAATAATGTTTTCAAATTCCATTGCTACTATTAAAAAATAAATAGAGGTTGGAATCTGATAATTAATTCGTTAAAATATGCCTTTCTATCCATTAAAAGTTAACTTTTATTTAAAATTTAATGAACAATTGAAAAACACATCATATTCTTCTAATTGACGTATTATAAACAATTGAAAAATCGGCTGTTAATGTATTAATTAATTAATTTCTTATAAAAATAGATAATATTAAGTAATTTCTTTCGAAATATTCGAAAATTTAATAATGGGCCCCATATTGTCTTCTGGGTTGAACGGTTTTCGAGGTAGTCCTAACGGTAGTACTGAAACAAAAATTAATTTTTTAATATTTATACATCAAATAATGCTAAAAAAGAGTACAAATCGGTGCACGTTACGTCATGTACATATTAAGGGATAATTTTGAATTTTAAGTATTGAAAAATTTATATTGATGTCCTCCAATCAGAATAGCAGATAACAAATGGACAAGAGACAATCAACAAAAAGCTGATATTTTCGCTGACCATCTACAAAAGACGTTCCAATTAGATGAAAATCAAGACACTCCTAATACACAAACTTAAAAAAATGCTCCCTAGACAATATGTCGACATTCTACAATCATATCTAACGGGAACAATGTTTAGAGTAAAGCAAGATGAGGCATACTCCGAAATTAAAGAAATTAAAGCAGGTGTCCCACAAGGTAGTGTGCTAGCACCGGTTCTTTACTCATTATACACCAGCGATATTCCTCAACAACAATCTGTTAAAATAGCAACATCTTCGGATGACACTGCAATATTAGCAGTTGCCGGAACTAATACAGAGACCTCAGAAAAACTTCAGGAAACCTGCAACAGAATCAATCGATGGACCTAGGGATGAACCTAGATGTAAGACTAAAATGGAAAGAGTACATAAAAAAAAGCTTAAAGAACTTGAACTTAAATTTAAAAAAAATGTATTGGCTCCTAGGAAGAAAATCCAAATTGTCAGTGCACAACAAACTGCTGATTTATAAACAAATCCTAAAACCAATCTGGATTTATGGCATACAGCTATGGGGATGTGCCAGCAAGAGTAATATCAACATGATACAAGTTTTCCAAAATAAAGTCCTAAGATGCATTGTTGATGCACCTTGGTTCTACCGAAACGATTATCTTCATAGAGACCTGAAGATGCTAACAATCGAAGAAGAAATAAAGAGGTTTGCTGCGAAACATGAGGGTCGACTCCACTCCCACGTCAACGAAGAAGCGCTGCAATTACTGGACAACTCTACACTCAACAGAAGGCTCAAAAGGAAGAAGCCATTTGAGCTAGTGCAGTGAACGTTAATGTTAGTGCTAGTGTCAAACAGTGTAATAAATCGTCACGCCAACTTGTGATGCTTTCCTAGAGAAACAATTAAGACAGCCCAATGGGGACTTCTTAGACAAGTAATTAGTTATAAGATTTTTAGATTAAAATTGTAGGTTAGTCAGAAAAATATTGATATACATATCATAAAAATCTTTTGAATAAAAATGTTTGGATGCGGATATGTCTATGCAAGATAGTTGCACGAGTAAATTTTTTGTATAAATTTTTCTTCTTCAATTATTATTGTCTTTTATATAAACACCTTGGTATAAATCCAGAATGACAATAAAAAAATATATTTTTTTTTATTTTAGAGCAGTATCCGTAAACATTTTGCATATATAATAATTATATAAATATACTCACATGAATAACATAACATCTAAACTATCAATGAAGTTGTTCTGTTATATAATAAATAATAACATCTAATAACATTTTTTTTTTTTTTTTTTTTTTTGAAAATATTGTTACTCTCTGTCCGTTTGCCTTATCCTTTTTAAAAATATTTCATAGGTCATCCATTCACAGCTCACATAACTCAAAATCATTAGAAAAATGCAGATAATAATTCGCACTTTCTGCATATTTACAATGTCATTCGACGACTGTATTATCTAGTTTGTTCTGAAGGATAAATATACTTTTACATAGTAGCGGTTTTTTTAATGAATAATAAGAAATGAATAATATAATTGCTTATCTACAGTAGGTTTTTTGTCTTGGTTAGAACTTCCTATTTATTATTATCTGACTGTTACTCTTTCACCTAAACATTAACCGCAATAAAATGAATTTAAAAAATGATTTAGTAAAGCTTTATATTTTTCATTACTTTTGAGATTGTTTTATTCTTAGTAGTTATTATATTTTTGGAAAATGGCTGATAGCTGTTCACTATTCCTAACTTACTATCTACTATCTACAAATGAAAGCAAACTTTAAAACTCGAAGCCAATCCCCTTTTATTAAACTGAATATATTTATTCTAGTGGAGCTATAAAGTCTCTATGGCACTTTTAAAAAAACAGTAGCAGCTTCTGTTACCTCTTCGTTATAAGAAAATGTACTTCTCTGGCTGATTCTTTAATATCGACTGAAGAATATAGAGGGTGTTTCGGAATAAAGTTCCGTAAACTGCAGGACATGTATATCTTTACTATTTATTAAGAAAAGCTAAATATAATTTTTCCAAATTCATTGAAATAATTACAAATTTAAAAAACAGTTGCAGACACAATAAACGTTATTATAACAATAAATATAAAAAAATGAAACCGTAGATTCCAAAATAATAACTTCTATAATGATAAGATGAAGGAAAATCTCGTGAAAATAAAAATATTACTTCATTTCAAACTGAATTTAAACTATACCGCTACCGTTTAAATAAAATATTTATAAATGCTAAAAATCAAATCAATTTGATGTACTAAAAGAAGCAGCAAACCAATCAAACAATAAAAAATCCATTGAAAACCTTACTTGTACATAAATTAGGTTCCAAATTTTTTTCGGCATATTCCAGGTGCCACCATAACGTAATTTTTCTGGCAATTATTCGGAGCCCAAATAATATTTCCTCCGCTTAATTTTCTTTTATTGAGGAAAAGTGAAAAGAAATCCTCGTAGGTCATCCATTTACTTCGGATACAGCATGCATTAAAAATTAATATAACAAGAATACAACTCACGCCTGATTTCAACATTTTTGGGAGTAAACTGTTTGGATGGTAGACCGGTATTTACAGTTATTGATATTTTTTTATCTTATCAACGTAAATCAGATAAATTCGTTTCAAAATCTGAATCAATACTATACTGTGAAGCTGGTATTCACAATATTTCTTGGTATTTAGTGGCGCCAATTAGGATTATTTCCATTTTGCATTCCAGGAAGCATGATATTTTTCTAACTTGAGGTTTCAACGGATCTTTATATTTAAGGGTCCCCTGAAGGCGTTTTAACCATTATCGCTATGATGTATGTGCGTCTGTATTTAAGAATATATAATTTTAATTTGAATATCCTAAATATAACACTGGGATGCCTATGGACTATATTTTTCAACTGTTTTTCTTGGGACTTAGGTCGTTTCACTTATAGCAGGTCTGAGTAGTTAATATAACCAAAACTTAATTTAATTTTATGAAACGAAAGTTAGTACAGCTTGCCCTAATTCTAAAAAACTAAATAAAACATTTTACAAGGAAATATAACACTTCAAAAACATAAACGTCAATTCAAAACTAAAACTCTATATTACTACGTCAATAATTGACAATAAATATTGAGCGTTTGTCACATTTTTAGAAAATCATTTGATAATAATTGTAATAAAAGAAAATTGGTATGTACTATGTTTATTTTTATATGAAAAATCTTTCTTAACACTCTCTCTATATTTTCAAAATGACTTAAATAATATATTAATAATTTTAATTTATAAATATCACTAAATATTGCTTTGATAAAGAACTAACAGTACAAATAACATGCTATACATATTCACAATTAAAGTTTATAGACAGAATATGAGACAATATTAAATTTGCTAAAATTTCTTAGTACTATTATGATAAGGTCATTGTAGCCATAATTTGCACCTTATATGACATAGATGGAGCTCGTAGATTGCAATAAAAAGTATTGGAAACCAATTTAAAAATATATATATAACAAAAGATATATTGCATAACATTTTCCAGTATTAAATATAGACCATTTGTATAGATTTTCAAAACTTTACTACATAATACATACAGCTTTAGATCACCTGCAAAGAGCAAGAATTTTGTATTTGTTATGACCTTAGAAATATCATTGACAAATAAGTTGAAAAGTTAGAGACCACAATAGGATTCTTGTGAAACTTCAGAATAAACAATAATTTCATTAGAAATAAAATTGTTTGATGATAAAAATTGCTTAATTTTAAATTACCTTGGTGGTCTTTTGAAGAAGCTTGAAGCACTTTCCTCTCGAGTACACATAACCACTCTTGCAAGACCTCGGCGTCAAAATATTTCTTCCCTTTTTGACAGGTAAAGAGGCAACATCACTTGGCTGCAAGTTGACGTTTTGACCATCATCAGCAGAATTGTATGCCATAAAGGCGTTATTAGAAATAATCAACAGCAAATAAAAGAGTATGGCAATTTTTAACATTTTTAGTAAAAATGTTATATAGTATGAGGTGCCGAGACTTATTAAAAGATTATAAAAGTTTTATCTGATTATATCGTATCATAAAGTGTCTAAAGTAAATAATTTGTGTTTATCAAAGCAAAAGCAGAAGGCGGCAATTTTAATATCACATAAATCATTAATTTTATTACCTATCGTATTTATATCTATGATAAACATAGAAACTAATTATTATCACTAATTTAATTAGGTTAATAAGCAAAAAATTGACATTTTAAAAATATGTATTGGGTAATCAATGAAAAATAATCATCCAAAATAAAGCCAGAGTGATATACAGGTTAATTCCTAAGTTTTACTGTGTTTAGAAATGGTTAAAATAAACATAAATCTAAATCCGGGTCTGGACTTTGTATTAAAAATTAAGTATCTTTATGTTTTTATCTGTTTTACCTTTTTCTGGTTTTTCTTATGTATGAATTTCAATAGCTTTACCTCGCGAACCTATTCTAGTGCCAAAACTTTTATTATTCTCTCTCAACGGGATACAGGTAATTTGCGAGAACATAGTATGATAACCGATACGAGAATACATAAAGTGCGTGATAAAGTGCATTTACATCAAGGCGAATAGACCGTATTGAATATATTTTGGAATAAATTAATATAAGTTTAAAATTTTCCAGATTTTTTGAAAAAATTATTTGAAAACGTTGTTTATTTTGTTAAAAAAAGTATCAACTTAGGACTCACCCTGTATATTGAATAATTGAATAATTTTTATTTAAAAATACATTTAAATAAAGTGAAAACGCTACTACAGAGTAGCATAATATTTGCATCACAAAATTACTTAAAGGATGATTAAAAATGTAAATTAAATATTGGTTTAAGAAAAAAATGAGCATGTACCTACCTATTACTATTATTTTTACCAGTGCCAGTACTATCAGTAACATTAATATGCATATGAAAGGGAGCAAAACATCCACCTGTTGCTGAATAACCGTCCCCTTCTTCGCATCCTGCCGGTACGTCTATGAACTTTTTGCCAGCCTTTCTCAAAAGTTCATTTTCTGCGGTAGACTGCCGAAGAAAAAATAAACATGTTAGAAATACAACGAGCACAACCTTCATCTTAGAGTAAAATTCACCAAACAGTAAATAATCGCATAATAAGCTTGTTAGATGTCAAAAGTTATCGAATACTGATAATTAAAATATAATAATACTAACGAAACAAGAATAATTCAAATATGTAGTAACAATCGACAGGATGGCACAATAACAATTCAAAAAGGTATAGAAGTTTGTGAAAATTCAATTTTCAATTAGAAGAAAAAATGGTCGATCGACAGGAAAGCACAATAAGGATTCGAAAGGGTTTTGCATTATATTTCGACATTTAACCACCCCTTAAAATAATTATAATAACACAAAAAATGTAAATATTTAAAAAATACAATTTCCAAATCAAATTTCCACTTGGAAAAATGGTCAATCGAGAAGAAAGCAAAATAAAGATCCAAAAAGTTTAAAATTGTAATTTGGCGTTTGACCATCCCCTAAAATAATTATAATGAGCCCAAAAAGTGTGAAAATTCTAAAAATATAACTTATATTTTACGAAATTTGACACATTGCATTTTTAAAGGTTTGTCAAATGTCTAAATATCATTTTAAACCTTTTTGGATATTTATTGTGCAAAATTCGATTTGGAAATTCTATTTTTTAATTTTTAAATTCTTTGGGCACATTAAAATCATTTTAGGGGGTTGTCACACGTCGAAATATAATTCTAAACCTTTTTAAAATTAAATTAATAAATTGTTTCAAAGAATTTTGACCCCCTCTCGGGTCTTTTGAATTTTTTAAGGGGTGGTCAAATGTCTATAAATAGTTTTAAACGATTGATAATTTTTTCAAATTTGAAATTCGTTCCAGAACTTTTGGTTTTCTATAATTTACCCCTTGAAATTGTTTAAAGGGGTGGTTAAAAAAAATATAATGAATAGTATAACATACAGTCTGTTCGCTATACTTTCGCGGGTTTCGGATTAACAAAATTATGCAAATTAGTCATTGACAACCAGTTCCAATAAGACTCTTCCCAAGAAATTAGGTAAAATTGCCCTAATGGTCAGATTTAAATTAAAATAACATTAGAGTAGGTACTAAATTTGTTACAAATATTGCAGTTGAATTGATTCATTGCAAGTGTTGACATTGTATATATATTGTAAAAGTGGAAATTTTAAAAATGCCTAGACGTGTGTTAGATGTAGATAGTCTATTATTTATTGTTTCGGCCTTTACTTGATGAAAATCCATTTAATTTTGAAAGAGTAAAACCAAATTTGGTAGATTTTCACACTTTTATTTTAAAAATTTTTTTTTTAAAAAACACTAACATGACATATGTTTCGAAGTACAACTTCTTTTTCAAATGTGACTATTTACAATTCGGTATCCAATATATATACGAAATAATTTACAAAACAAAGTAGGTACTTAAGAAAACATCAATAACATTACAAAATAAACTAACTATTTAAAGTAAATAAGGGTACTTAGGTAATTATAATATCCATCAGATAAAAATAAGATAGCCCATTACCGGGATTATCTCACAGAAAACTGGGAAAGAGATTTAATAAGGGTGAATTATTAATATCTAATTGATCATTTATTAAGTTATCTGAATTTTTAAATCTATTTATTTCAAGTGTTTCTAAATGGTTTAATTTAAGGCTCTTATTTTCTACATGTAAAATTTCAAAGTTGTCTGTAAAAGAATAATTTTCAGCTAAAATATGATTTGAGTAAGTAGAATTATTTTTGTTTTTTGTATAGCTATTATAATGTTCGGAATAGCGTTTTTTGAAAGTACAGCCTGTTTGACCAATATACAAAAGTCCATCAAACACACCGATGGAGAAGGGAAGCAACACATAATTTTACATGCAGGAGGGAAATCGGGTTTTATAGAAGGTGCTAATTTAATATTTTCATTTAAATCAAAATCCAGTGACTATCACGATAATATGAACACAGAAATGTTTGTAAAATGGTTGCATGAAAAACTTCTCCCAGGTTTAAGTGAGCCCAGCGTAATTATTTTAGACAATGCACTTTACCATTCTGAAGTATTAAACAAAAGTCCAACGAATTCTTGGACTGTTGATAAAATTAAAAAATGCTTGACAAAGGAACATATACCATTTCCTCAATATATATTAAAATCAGAATTATTACGCTTGGCAAATATACACGCAAAACCAAAAACCTTTGTTGTGGATTTGATTATTGAAAGTTACGGTCATCAAGTTTTACGTCTGCCACCGTATCATTGTCAGTTTAATCCCATCGAATATATATGGGGAATAGCAAAACAATATTATGACAACCATATTGGGCCTAATGGTTATAGTGACGACGTAGTTCGGGAAACTTGGCGAAAAGTACTTTCAATTGCAACTCCACAAGTGTGGCGGAACTGTATATCCAAGTGCGAGAAACTAATAGAAGATTGGTGGACTCGTGAAAATAAAATAAACTAAATAAGTCCAATCATAATAACAATTAATGATGATGACGAATATGATATTTTGGATGATAATGACTGATTTTCATTTTTGTTTGCAAGTTCAATTTTTTTATTTTTCATTAGAAATTGTCTACATGGAACAGATTTTTATGTTAGAAAATATTTTATTTGAGATAAATAACCCTCTTATTATACATAGACCACATTTTCTGTGTGAAGTGTAATATGAAATTATTATTAGGTTTATAATTGCCACATTAGACTCCATTAATGAAGAAGTTTAATTCTGCTCTCAATTATACAAAAGTTGTACATTATTTTTCATTTTATTTAACCAGTTAATATTTCCCCAAAGAACAGGTCAAACTTTCGGGTACTTACCTGGAAATACTCATTAAATTTTTATTCCGAAACCCGCGTAAGTATAGCGAACAGACTGTAGTAAAAATTTGATCAAACCCATGGTGCATGCAATTTTGAAAAATCTACAGTTCTTGGTGCCAGCAGGCACTCAGCCATTTAAGTATTTATGTTTCTGAGAATTGTCAAAAAAGTTACTTTACACGAATTTCTGTGACCAGCTTCATACAGCTGAACTTATCTGACCATACTTGGCAGCCAATATTTTTTTTAATTTAATATTTCGATAATGACAGCAAAAATATTGATTAATTATAATTTTTAGGTAACTTTGATACTAATACAGCTAATTGATTTGAATATTTTTTATTAGTTATGTTATTTCTGATTTAATATTAATATTTTTTAAAAATTTTATTGGTTTGAACAAACAAAAATGTAATTAACCTGAAATCGACGCCACTGCGTATTTTTCTGCCAAGTTTGGTCTGCTAACTTCCCATTAGTCACCTCTACGACTTCTTTTACTTATTTTTTGAATCCTCCTCTCGCATCAACGCTACTAAACAAACATATTACTCTAATGTCTTTATTCAATTTTTAATTTGCTTTACAATATATTATTTAAAATGTAGAAAACTATCAATAGCCGCTGGCTCCTCACTTTCTGTAGTGGTAGTAGTAATTTCAGTAGTGGTGCTTACCGTAGCAGCTTCATCAGCACCATCTTCGTAATTTTCAGGAGAATCAGTAACTTGCACTCCATTAACGAAATTCAAATTGATTACCTCCTTTCTGTCATTACCAGGATGCAGCACATAGGTCTTATTAAAAGAATAACTTTTGTTAATAATCTCATGCCGTTGAATGGATTGTGGTGCATTAGTATTATTAGATTTCTTAGTTTCGGTTATTACTTTGTATTGAGGTTGTCGCAATTTGGTTTTCCTAACTCGTGTTTCGTAGGATACGATCCTAGGTTGACCGTGTAAACGTTGCATTATTCTGTTAAAATTCTCAGGATCCACATCGATTATTTCTGTTGGTACATTGGCATACTTATCAGAAGTTTTTGGATCCACTGGTAGATTTATTGGTTCCATTTTTTGCTGATCTTGTTTTTGTTGCTTCGGTTCATCATTAACTTTTGTTTGTTGGACAGGATAATAATGAAGATTATTATATGGATAATTCTGAGATTGAGGATAATAATTTATAGGAATTTGTTCATAACCATAACCAATATTCTGATTAGGTGGCTGAATAACTTGCGGGTACCAAGAAATTGAATTTTCTGGTTGATTTGTCCTCTGAATTGGATACTGGTAAATTGCATTGTCTGGCTGATTTATTGGATATTGGTATATCGTATTTTCTGGTTGAGATACTGGGTATTGGTAACCAGTTTGGTAAGGATAACCATACTGCTGTGAATTCACACTAATAACTATTAAAATTAATGAAAATATATGAAGTTGTGCCATTTTAAAACTAACTACGTTTGAATTTGATTGAAAACTGATATTTTGTAAGTAGTAAGCCGTACTAGTGAACTTTGTGACCCTATAAAATTGTTTTCAAATTGATAAGAATGTGTCAATTCTAATATTTTGTAACAATATGCTGAACATGTGAGATACAGGGTTTTAAAGAATGATTTTACCAAATCCGTATTCAAATCTCTGTTTTAAAAAACATGGTTGCAAAAGTAGAAATAAAATTTTATTCTTAATTTTATTTTATTTTGCCTTCCACATTTGTATTTACGTATGTTTTCATTGTACTTTATATTTTAAGTTATATTTTTAGTATTTTTTTTTAATTACAGTAAATTAAGGTTATGCTAAAGAAGGGAATACAATAAACGCTCTATACAGGTATCTAAAGCAGTTTTGGTTGTCACAGAATGGAAATCGGATTAAAAAATACTTTGCTATTGTCAATATACAAAAATGTAGGAAAAGAAAAAACAAACAAAATGTTTTGTTAGTTATTTAATTCTAATAATTAAATATTATATTTGGCACAACGACCTTAAATTAAAATTTTGACGATTAGATATTCTAGTCGCTTTTCATGTGGAAGCCAGCAAAAAAGTCACTGGACAAAAGGTATTTTTGACAGTCTTGTAGTTTATATCTGAAAAGGAAATTATTTATTAGCAAATGAGAGGTTATAATCAATAAACCAAAACAAAACTATTCAATAATAGCTTTTTACTTAAATGGAACATCTTACAAATGCATTGGCTGAGTTACAGCGATATTAATTAAGTCACATCATAGTACTTTTATCCGAATTACAGCATTTTGTTATATCTAGTATTAAATCCGGTATTTCTTAGAAGGTTACAGGTGAATGGTAGTTACTCAATGATTCAAAAGGCCAAAAAGAAAACTGTGGATTTTCAAATAATGGCTTCTTGAATAGATAACAACTGGCTCGAATGTACAGTATTATCATTTTGAAGTAATTTACATGGAAGCAGATAATTATAAATATTTTAAGCAATATTTATCTTCGTACTATACAACAATTTAACTTCTCCCTTTGTATCACGCAAAAATCCCGAATAAGATGAAGATATGTTTCATTTCATAAGCGGTTTAGCTAAAGTTTTGTTCTAGGGTACAAATATAGAGACCTGTAAAAAAATACAGTTTGTTTTGTAGCGCTAAGTTTGTCAAGGTACTAGTAATTATACCTACTACGTTTACAATTGCAAAATGGTTTCGTTAAAAATAGTTCAATTAAGAACTCGTCGGCACCTTCCTCTAATCTTCTTTAGAGGTGGATTGCAACGAATGTCGACCAAAGAGCGATCATCCAATGTGAAATTGAGTTTTGGTTGGTCACTGTCAGTTGTAGTTTCGTTTTCTTGTTCTATCGGCATTCCTGATCGACTTTTTTCTAAAAATAAATGATTCAATTATTATAAATTGGATGTTGTTTAGAAATTATGGACTCTTTGGATCATACCAATTTGATCCATGATCTATTGTATCATGTGATTGAAAGATAGCATAAATATTTTGCCTACTGATCCTGCGCCAATTTATTTCGTGTTATGTTTGAGTTGAAACGAAAGGTAATCCCAAGTTTCTCATTAGTTTGTAGCAATATACAGTGAGCATCTTAAGTCTTACCCCCCCCCTCCCCTATCTAACTCGTTACTGGAGTCTTGTTGGGAAAATCGCCGAGACACGTCGATTTTTGATTTTTACAATGTACATTTTTGTATAAATAGTTTAGCCTTAATTTCATCCCTTACTGGAGGGCAGCAACCCTTTCGAAAAATTTAAATGGCATGGGGTGGTGAGTGATAGCTCGTTTGAAAGGGGGTTTTATTCTCTATTCAACCATACAAAAATTTTTGAAATTTGCTTCATTAATTCTCGACTAAATATTGTTTCAGAATAACAGAAATTAACGTAGCGCACTCATCCTTAGAATTAAAATTCTGCCCTGCATGATATTGGTTTTAGTTCAGACGTGAAGTAAGACTTTTTGCCATTAGATAAGGTCACTGTTAGTTCAGTTGCTTTCCTATTTGTGATGTTTTGTTATTTTTAAACATTAATAAATCAACACGTAATGAAGCAAATTTCAAAATTTTTTGCACGGTTGGATAGAGAATAAAACCCCCTTTCAAATGAGCTATCACTCCCCACCCCATGCTATTTAAATTTTTCGAAAGGGTTGCTCCCCTCCAGTAAGGGATGAAATTAAGGGCAAACTATTTACACAAAAATGTACATTGTAGAAATCAAAAATCGATGTGTCTCGGTGATTATCCTAACAAGACTCCAGTAACGAGTTAGTTAGGGGGGGGGGGATAAGACTTATGATGTTCACTGTATGACTGTTAGAAGTATCAAGTTAGAGTTTTAGAAAAGCACAATTAAATAATTAAAGCTTTAATAAGCCATCAGTGTTGTATGGTCAGAATGTTGGGCAGAGAAAAAAATATTTGCTGAGATAAGAAAGCTGACAAAGAAAAAAATATTTAAATAGGTGTTATTAGTTTCTTTTATGGTTTCTGCACTGACAGAACCAATTAGTAAATGATGAATCTTAAAATGTGTAAAATGTGGATATATTTACTTTTTATTTTCTTCCGTATTAATGTAAATCATAAATACATTGAAGATCAACATGTATAAATATTTTATAATTAGAAAATGCCCAAGGTAGTAATATTTTGAATTCTTGACTGAAATATCAAGTAATTTTTCTGTATTAGTCTAAATAAATTTCTATTTTTTTATTTATTTGACCCAAATCGACACTACAAGGTTAATTATACAGTGGGGTGAGATATAATATCTATAAATGAGAATAAAGTACTAGCTTTACAAAATATACAAATTATTTTAGTAAACATACTAAACAAATATAACAAAATTGGGATGTCTTTAGGAATACTGCGTAAAAAATAAAACTTCAGAAGAAGTTTCTCCTGACAGCGACCTTTATAGGATAAATTAAGGATAAGTATATTCAATTTAGAGCATAAAGTAATATTGTCCATGTTGATTCGAAGTTTTAATTTTCAGAAAAATCATTAAGTCGTCTGCATAAATCAAAAACTTGTCATTAAGATTTATAGCTATGTCATTTATGACGATAATAAAAATAGAGGCCCTACAATTGAACCTTGTGGAACACTAGATACGTAAAAAAAGGCTGGATTTGGTACCCTGCATTCGAACATGTTTTTGGCAACAAATATCATTAGAAATGGTGACAGATAATGCTTCAAATTTCTGTAGGACAATAAAAGGCAAAAGACAATTATAATTATTCTTATTCTTATTCCAGTCATTGGTCGAATGTCATAAATAATAAAAGTTGAACGAAAGGTCCTCAATAATTTTAATTATGGGGTTTATGACTTGTGATGGGAATAAGGGTACTATAATTTTATGCGTTTTTCAATAAAACTAAATAATCTATTTTAATATTATTATATAAAGAACTCACTCAAATAAAACGTGAGAGTAATCATTTTAATAATTCACAAGAACCTACAACAGGTTATCTTAATTATAAAAAATACAACTTTGATTTACGTAAAAGACTTACTAAATTGATTCCTTTTCAATTCCTCAAATTCATCGGGTGTGTAAAAATTCTTATTTTGAGCCAACACCACAAAGAAAAACATTACATTTACGAATAGCAGTAATGTTTTCCGCGAGATTTGCATCGTCACAAATTTAACAAAATTGTTTAAAAAAAAAATCAAACACCGAATTAAAGCGAACACTCTGCAGCGTTGCTTGTGTCGTATGTAACTGATAACTTTATTAACGGCCATAGCCAAGCTTGGTCAAGAGATAAAAAATATCTTAATGTCTTTGAATTATTCAAAAATGTAATTATATTAATATTTTTCTTGGTAGGTAACTAGTTGGAATTTCGTTAGAATCGGAATAAACGTTTAAATGTGTTATTTTTCTTGAAACGTTCAAGAGATACGTCCGTTCTTTATTATTTTAAATACGCTTTCATTGACTTCACTTAATGTCTTGGAGACTATAAAAGGAATGGTTCACTTTCCCAAGGTAGGTTGCTGAAGCTTGTCGGGTTTTCTTTCCCTGGAGACGACGACAATAATAATTTTCTGGTGGTTAACATTTGCTCCATCTAGTATCATTTATGGATAGTATTTAAGACTTGTTAAAGGATGTTGGGGGTTACTTCACCCTAATTATAATACCCCGATCATAGCATTGGAAATATATCCCCTGTCCAAAGTAGGTTATTTACCAGAATGATCCAAAGTATTCCGTAGAGTTTATGTTTTAATTTTCTTGCTTCATTTGGCTTCCCAAAACTTATCCACTTGTAAATATGCTGTCTTTTGATCTAAAATTTCCTGAGCAAATCTTAAACTGAGTTCTGACTTTGTTTAAAGTGGAATATCTTCAACTAAACTAACAATATTGAAAATCTAACTTTATCCACTTTTTCTCAATTTTAAAACATTTTTCTAGGGTATTGCATTTAGGCTGCTTCTTATTTTAGTAAATTTTATTAATAAATACCACAAATGAAGCATTTCTGATTATTTTAATCTGTTCATTGAGCAATTATATTCTTACCTAACTTATCTAGGATTGAAAAACTTAATAAACAAAGACCCTATTCACTACTTTACCTTAGAGAGTCTTCTTACTTGATTGTTGAGAGGCTGGATAACCTCAACGTTCCCATGTTGGAGCAGTACTGCTGGCAAATTTTGTTATTTTCTCGACTGGCTCCACCTTAAGATACCTACCTGTTAGTCAGTATTGCAGCAGTATCAGCACCTAGGATTACTGTATTATCATTAAATGTTGCGAGTGTGTTCAAGAATATGAATATCTCTGATATATCAAGTAGAGTACTGGACCTAGGACACTACCTTAAGGCATACCTACCTTGATTTTTCTTAGGTCATACAAAATAGGCTTCTTCCAGTTTTAATCTAAAATACTTTTTCTGATAAATAGGACTTAAATAGAATTAATGTTCAAATTGTGAA